CATGTGGGGACTTTGTTTGTTTTTTCTGGATCTGCCCAGCAAAGCTAACAAAATTCTGTTTAAGCAGTGTGAATGTAAGCAACTGGAAAGTTCCATGACAGGTTGACAGGAGATCCAAACAGGCCACATTTTGGAAAACATTTTTGGAAGATGGAAACCAATCCCTTGCACTGTCTATCAACCCTGAAGGGACTGGGCCATCCCTGCAGGTCACAGGAAAAGCGCCATCCTCCAAACCTTCTAAAAAGGACAATCTTGAATGAACTCTCACATAAGCAATCAGACTAAATAAAGCAAGGAGTAAAACCCTGTTATGCTTCCCTTAGGCTTCATGTCACACTGGAGAGCCATGTCACACAGAGCCAAGCCAAGTAATGTTAAGTCAAACATTAAAATTAACTCATCATTTCTTTTTAACTTTTCTAATCACGGCTACTGGAATGTTTAAAAGATGCATATGACTATAATATTTATATTAGATAGCATGCTTTCTTTAGATTCTATAATGGTATGTAGAAGGAAGATACGGCCTTCAAGAAATGAGCAGTGGTTTATCATTAGGCTTTAGTAGGTAGTTTTGCTCTGTTAGCCTATCAGAGTATATAAATAGCATTCTGATCATTTCTTTTTAAAGCCTCTTTTAAAGGGCTGGGGAGATGGCTTGGGCATTAAAGCACTTGCCATGCAATCATGAAGAACAGGCCTTGGATCCTCAGAAACTCACGTAAGTGCCAGATGGGCATGGCGGCCTGTTGTAATCCCAGCAGAGACAGGGGATCCCCAGAGACAGCTTTATAACAACACTAGCCATATTGGTAAGCTCTGGGTTTGACTGAGAGACCTTTCCTCCATGAATGAGGTGTAAGAGTGATGGACAATGAGATTCCAGACATCAACCTCAGGCCTCTACATGAATACAGGCACACCACATACACATGAAAAATAAGACGAAAAAAGCTACTTAAATATCAAACAGAGATGCAGTTTTACTAGCTTAGGTTTTGTTTTAGGTTTGCTTTTTTGAATTTTTCATTTATTATATTTATCTTATGTGTATAAGTATTTTAAGTGTTTTGCCTGCATTTATGTAGTGTACCCATGTCACGCAATGCCTGTGGAGGCCAGAAGAGAGCGTCAGATTCCCCTGGAACTGGAATTATTAATGGTGGTTATCCATCAAGTGGGTGCTGAGAACTGAACCTGGGTCCTTTGCAAGAGCAGCCAGTGCTCTTAACTGCTGAGCTGTCTCTCCAGCCCCAGTTTAGTTTCTTGAGAAAGGGTCCTCCTGTAGACCAGGCTGGCCTCAGTTTCAGATCCCCCTGCCTCTGCCTCTCCAGTGCTGGGATTAAAGGCGTGCACCGCCATGCCTGGTTTGGCTTTTGCTTTGTTTTGTGTTGTGGTGTGGTATTTTTGCTTTGTTATGCTGTGCTGTGTTGTGTTGTGTTGTGTTGTGCTTTGTTTTGTTTTTCTGTGGAGACAGGGCCTCTCTCGGTAACCCAGGCCAGCCTTGGAATTTATGGCAGTCTTCGTGTTTCACTTCCCAAGTGCCTGACTTTCTTGAGCCATATGATATATTAAATGTACTTTAGTAAATAAGCGCCTTTGAAAAGACTCATCCTGAATATCCCCAAATCGTCTAAAGCACATTTCACAATCGCTGTCAACAAGACTTTACTCTGAAAACAGCAACACCTTCACTCAAATACTGGCTCCGCTGGAGGAAATAAAGTGCTCAAAGTCAGCTCATTCCCCAGTTTACCAGTGTCAGCTCCCTGGAGCAGGACAAACAAGAGAAAGACATTGCTGGGTGGCAGGCCATGGCAAAGATGGTCCTTTATTCATTTATTCACTAAGCAAACACTTAGGAAATGTCTACCATATGCCAAGCACACTTCCCTTTGTGATTTTTCTACTTGATAAGCCCTGTGGTAGAAAGGATGTTCCATGTGCAAAAAGGACGATGTTTGACAGAAACCTTAAAGGTTCACCGAAGCCGGGTACTCCACCCAGTGCCTGGGGTGTTACTAATTCAGGTGAAGGCAGGACTACATTCTTACAGATGTTTGCTGGCTTCCTTGGTTTGTGGGAATAAAGTTTTGCTAGCTATTTAAGGTTTTTCAATAGCTGTTTTAACTAAGTCTCAACATCACCATGGGTGTGTGGAGAGGGAACATCAACTCATTTTATGTATATGATATTGTTTGTGCCTTACTTTCATTATCTAGCCCACTCCTGTATTGCTCTTGTAACTGAAATGGCCTTCGAAATTGGCCACATATTTTCCTCCATGAGCACATACATGGGGCAGAGATCCAGGGTTTGGGTTTGGGACTTTAAGGGGCACCTGCAACTTATCTTATTTGGAAATTCACACAAAATTAGGTGTGAATAGCACCTTAAAAGATACCCATGCATTGCCGGGCATGGTGGCGCATGCCTTGGACCTAGGGAGGGGCTAGGGAGACCCTGCCAAATAAAAAAAGATACCCATGCATATGGGAGGTCTATAAAACAGATGCTTCATTAGCCTCAAAGAAAATCACCTCAGCTCTATGCTACAGCTATTTGCTTACTACACACACGTAGGGATGGGAGAATCTTGGTATTACTCTTAAAAGAGGCATTATACTAGCCGGGTGTGGTGGTGCACGCCTGTAGTCCCAGCACTTGGGAGGCAGAGGCAGGCAGATCTCTGTGAGTTCAAGGCCAGCCTGGTCTCCATAGTGAGTTCCAGGGCAGCTGGGGCTATAGGGAGACCCTGCTTCAAAAAGACAAAAAAAAAAGGCATTATACTATAAGCACTCTACTGTGTCTTTTTTACACTACGTTGCAGAAATCATTCCAAGATAAACAATATAGCTCAATTCACTTTTTAACTAACGATATAGCATTTTATGACATATCATTGTTTTATCCAATCTTATCCCTTGAAAATATACTGCCCTTTATAATTTTCTGTGGTTTCTTTTCTTCCCTTCTTTTTTTTTTTTAAAGGGGAAAAGATTCTTCTAACACACACACACACACAGGAACAAACATACATGTGCATGCACAAATGCTCTTGCAGTTCACTTTTTTTGGGGTTTTTTGTCTTTTTAAGTCAGGGTCTCCCTGTAGCCCCAGCTGGCCTGAACTCACTATGTAGACCAGGCTGGCCTTGAACTCACAGAAATCCGCCTGCCTCTGCCTCCTGAGTGCTGGGATTAAAGGCGTGCGCCACCATGCCCGGTGCAGTTTACTTTCTAAGATGTATTTTTCATTTTTAAATTTATGTGTGTATGTCTGTGTGTGTACATGCACATGTATGTGGGAGCCCTCAGAGGCTGGAAGACGGTGTCAGATACCCTGGAAGAGAGTCACAGATGGTTGTGAGCTCCCATATATGTGTGTTGAAACCTGAACTCCTGTCCTCGGCAAGAACAAGAAGTGCTTTAAATATTGGGCCATCTCTCTAAGCCCTATGTTTTTATAACTTAAAAGACAATCTGGTAATTTCTAATAAATTGTACTGAAGTTATTAATTTTGGAAGTAACAATTTTATGAATTTAAGACTTTCTATCTAAAAACACAGAGTATGTTTTTCCCCTAAGCTATGCCCCATCTAGAGAGAATTTGAACTCTAGTAAAGAAATTAAAGTTGTATGTGAATGCCACGATGTAGGAAAAATGGGAAGCACAAACTGCAAAACATGAAATTGAATAGGCAGAGGCCTCCAGAGAGGAGATCTGGTGGGTGAAGACTTCGAATTGAAGGTGGGGAGAATTGGGAGAGATGGGGCGCAAGTTCACCCAGGGCAGACACGTTTCAGAATGGCAAGCAAGCATCTGGGAAGGGCTGGGACACAAGTGGTACAGAAGACTCAGGCAGTGAAGTTGCAGAGGGAGGCCATGCACAGCCCAGAAAGCCGGACATGGAGTCCCTCCTCATCTCGGTTTGGGGCCAAGAACTGAACAAGGATACAATGCCATTTTAGGACCTACCAACCAGGCCTGTGGGAAGGGCCAGCCTCAGGGGGAGAGAGACCCTAACAGTGCAGATCTGAGGCCTGAGTCAACAACGTGGCCGCGAAGGGCAAGAGGCAGAACGCATTCTCAGGCACCAGCAACACTCACTAGACTGGGAGGAATGAAAAGGCTGTTTCCAGTGTTGAGCCTGGGGTGGTGAGTAGGATGGCCCACCATTAACACAGAGGAGTGCAACTGAAAGACAAACAGTTTCTCTTCAGACACTCAGCACATTTTCCATGTACGTGGGATATTCAAGCACACATACTCTGGACTCCAGCCCAATCTGGAAGGGCTGTTTCACATTCGAGAGATAGTGATAAGTTTGGTGACTCCCCTGGAGGAAACCCAACAGATGAGTTTATGTCCTAGGAATGTTGGGCCTCCTCACATTCCAACAGGCTCCTCAGCTCCCAGAAAACATTAACTGCTTCTGGTCTCTCCTTGAAAGTATTCAACACCTCCGTGCAGCACAACCCAGAAAGTACAGCCACCGCTAAACACTACGTCTACATCAATGGGAAGCCACCACTAAACACTACGTCTGTGTCACTAAGCAGGCACCACTAAGCACTGTGTTTACATCACTAGTCAGGCATGAGGAAAAAATTGACCAACTCTTGGAACCACGAGCACACACCAAATACCTGAAAATACAGTGCATACCATCAAAAGTATTACAATTTCATCTTAAATACAATTTTACTTTAAAAATAAAAGTAACCTAGAATTTCACTACCAAACTACACTTCAAAATTATCTAAAGGTAAAAAGAGACAGTCAATAAAAGTTTGATCAGAGAATATAAATACAGAATGGTTTTTTCCTAAGTTAAAATTTTGGTGATTCCTGGTTGAAACATAATAACCAAAGCTGACTACTATTTTTTAAACCCACAAAGTTTTTTATTTAGCAGGCAATATTGAGTATCAGATTTTTTTTAATTTTAAAATCAACATAAAATTATGTTCTGCAAAAAATTAAATGTACAAACCTCATAATGTTCATATTCATCCACATCAAATGTCTCAAAGTCAAAAAATCCATGTTGCAATCCCTAAGAGCAGAATTGGATTAGTTCCTTCGTACTACATTGATTAAAATCTACTCATCATTTCTGGGATTCCTAATGAGACTGGTTCCCACTAATCCCAATACAAGAGCTTAACCCTCTGGATTTTTTAAGGCATCTCTAGAAATCACTTTCTAACATTGGAAACTTTGCTTTAATACCATTTTAGGACTGGATCTAAGTACACAGGGTAGTGTGAAAATATATCACATAAAGGATGCCTCTATTCTAATTTATACCAGTTTTATATGCAAAGCTAATAACGTATGTAAAATGGAACATACTAGCAAATTCATAGTTAAAACCTACTGGGTTTTATGATACATTTTACAGAACGTATCACAGTCTCAGACAGAAGAAAAATAAAATATTCTAGGAAAAAAATGCTTTCCTGTTATCACAATGAAATATTTACCAAAAGGGGAACTTTTATTTAGTAGGCTCTAATTATTTAAACTTTACTTTAAAGAATTTGTTTCATAGTATAAGGGTACCCATCTTCATTTACAATTTAGGAGAAAGAACTGATTTATTTTTTAATAACACAGATAAAAACTTCATACTCTTCTTTGTAACAATGACAAAACTTTTAACACTTATCTATCTTCTTCATATCTAATATTTTCAAGAAGAAAAGAGTATTTTTCTATAAACCAGGATTACAAATTACAACAGAATATAAAAATGATAGGTACATTTATAAGTCATTTAAAATAGAAAAGGAAACAAGCATGCCAAGCTCATGTTTGCTTCAAAATATAGAACTCAGACCCTCTACACTGGAAACACTAAGTTAACTTACAAAACAAATTCCTAGGCCTCATCCCAGAGCTATTAAATCAGATTCTCTGGGTCTAGGGCACAAGACTAACATTTTAGATATTTATTTATTTATGTAGTTACTTATTTACTTACTTACTTACTTACTTTCTTACTTATTTACTTACTGATTATATGAAACAGGGTCTCATGTAGCCCAGGCTGGCCTTGAACTAGCTATGTAGCTAATGACAACCTAAATTTCTGATCATCCTGCCTCTACCTCCTGAGTACTCAACTACAGGCCTGCACCATCACACCCAATTTATGTGGTGCTGGGGTTCAAACCAAGGCCATCACATATGCTAGGCAAGCCCTTTACCAACCCCAGAGGCTCATCCCCAGCCCTAGCATCAGCATTTTCAACATGCTTTCCCAGGTGATTCTTAAGAGTGCTAAACTCTGACAATACTGACCAGCTAGACAATTCCTACAAAATAAACGGAACCCATTCTTAAAAAAAAAAATATGGAGCTGGAGAGATGGCTCAGTGGTTAAGAGCACTGGCTGCTCTTACAGAGGACCTGGGTTCAATACCCAGCACCCATATTGTAGCTAACAGCCATTTGTAACTCCACTTCCAGGGGATCCGACGCCCTCTTCTGACCTCCACAGGCATTGCATGGCACGGATGCATCCTCTCACATGCAAGCAATACACTCATACACATAAAATAAAAATAATAAAATCTTTAAATAAAAAAAAATTATATGTATGAGTGTTTCGCCTGCATGTACGTGCACCACATGGGTGCAATGCTTGTGTAGATCAGAAGAGGGCATCGGATCCCCTGGAACTGGAGTTATAGATGCTTGTTAGGCCCCATGTGGGCGCTGGGAATGGAACCCAGATCTGCTGCAAGAGCAGCCAGTGCTCTCAGCTGCTGAACCATCTCTCCAGCCCCATAGAACACATTCTTCAAATTGTTTCACCTTTTACAAAGTAACTTAGTTCAACCTTACATCCTTTTCCAGAGAAAACAGTGAGAAAAATAATACTCTAAACAGTCTACTTTTCCCCTCTATCTTTAAACTGTCTCTGTGTGCTCATATAACCACAAACATTGTGTGGTGACAATGGCAATACATCAAAGTCAGAAAACTATCCTCCCCTGAAAGCAAAAATGTGGGCATGTTCTGTATACAGTGCCATAAGGATATGCACTCAGTGCCACAAAAATAGCCCAGCATATGTCACCTTAAGTCAGGGAGCCAACAGGTCTCAGGAAAAGATATTAAGTAACATATCAGATCCTTTAAATCTCATCTGTACTTGAGGGCACTCCAACATGAAGAAAAATATGTTTTAGAAAAGCCTTTATTCATGACTAAAGTCACACCTTTCCGGTATGGCAAGGAAGGATGTCATAAATCTCTATATTGAGATGCCATTACCGTAACAATGAGCAGAGATTTTCCAGTGGAAACTGTGAATCTCATAAGCATTGTAAAAGAAACAGCCTCTATCAGATGAACAGAGAGACAAAGTAATAACAACCATATAATAAATACCCCCCCAGCACATGCTATAAATGCTGTAATTATGGGTTATGTGTGTAACTTCCTTATAAGAGCTCTAGACTACCATTCATGGAAGTGTACTTTGGCTATACTGTTTGCAGTAGGGGAAAGGGGAGAACATCTCCCTAGTTTTATTTAAACAAACAAACAACAACAAAAAAGAAAACTTTTAAGGTTTTTGAAAGTTTAAAATCATTTAAGAATGAAATAGCAAAATCAGAAACAGACACACATAAATATCACATTTATACTGACTTTTTTCAAAACAAAGCCCATTTTATATCACACCAGCCAGAATCACTACTGATACTAAATTCATAGCTGAATGGGTCTTTATGTAACGCACACATTTCTGACAAATCACAGCTGTGTGTTCACCATGTAACTGTATACTCTGAGCCTTCTATAGAATCCATGGTCTAGTTTGCATGGCTTCTCAGCTTGTAATTAAACATGTTCCAAGTCGTTTAACTTTTCCATAACTAAATAACTATGCCTAATTAACTAACTTTACAGTGCATCAAATCACCCAGAGGTATTGTACAAGCACACACCACAGGGTCCCACCCCCAGAATTTAGGATTCAGTTCCATCTGGTGCAAGGCCAACTGACTGAGAGCAGTGGCTTAGATAACTTCCCGTCCCTCCCACACTAAGATCTAGCTTGATAATGAAGAGAAATGGGTGAAAAAGCATTGGGGGGGGGGGTCATCAGCTAAAGTGGTAATTTGCCCCAGGACACAAATAGCTGAAGTGAGAAAGGGAGTCTCTTCCACTTCCCTGCCCAACTACCCAATTCTTCTTCCACTTTCCTGCCCCAGTGGCCTGACTGAATACAGGGGTCCTGTAGTAGTCAAGTGACTGGTTCCAGGAACCTCCCAGATATCAATAACTACAGATGCACAAGCCCTAGGTATTAAATTAAATGGCATAGTATTTCCAAGTTACCTATGTACATTCTCCTGTAGGCTTTATGTTACCTCTAGAATACTTCTAATGCCTGACAGATTGTAAATACCTGATATACCATGTTGTTTGTGACTAATGATAAGGAGGGGTCCTGTATGTGCTCAATACAGAGGCACATTCCCCACTTCCAAATATTTTCAATCTGAGGTTGAGGGAATTCGTGAATAAGGAACCCACAGAGGAAGGAGGATGAGAGAGAGTAATGGGGGGATAACAAAATACATTATATACATGCATGAAATTGTCAAAGAATTTTTAAATTAAATTTAAAAATGAAATAACCCACTGAAACTGAGAACTGATTATATCTTACAAATCAAGCCATCATTCAGAAAAATGAAACGCTTTCTGCCCCTAAGCTTCCAGCTCTTTCCAAGAACAGAAAAGAGTTATTCCTTTTCCAATTATTGGACCAACAACAGCAAAAGAGTGATGTCGTTACCTTTCTGATTCCTTGTAAGCAGTCAAGGATGGTGAGATTGTAAGTGCAATTTCCAAAGGAAGCATCCCTACGAACACAAATAAATGTAACATTAAAAACTTGCATCCAAATTTTCAAATAATAAAAGATTAAGTCAGTTGGACACGCTGGCTGGGTTTCATCGCTGTCAGGGTGGTAAGCTTAGGTAAGCAGAACCTACTAGAAGAACTTCTGAAATTGCCGGCCTCAAATTTGTAGTGATAGTCCTGCTTCTGTTTCCCAAGTGCTGGGATTGCAGGCTGTGTCACAGAACACCCAGTTCCTGACTGCTCTTAACAACGGTGAACTGGGCAGTTTGACTAAATAAAACAGTCATCACTACATGAGTATTCTAGCAGGGGAACAACCTCCTATCAGGAACATGGTGACCCCAATCATAAAAAGACAAGAGGGAAGGGGCTGCATATGCAGCCCCAGCAGTTGTTTTGCGTGTAAACGCCATCTCTCCCCTGCTTTTAAAAAAAAAGTAAAATACAGTCAGCATTTCCAACAATATCCTCAGAGTCACTAGGATTCATAAAAACCCCTAACACACCATCAAAATGCTCTCAAAAAGAATAGGAACTAAAAATAATAAATAAAACTTTAAAATTGAAAAAAAAATTAGATCTATTACACTGAAAATTGAGGGACTGGGACTTTTTTTAGAGCAATTTAGCAGATCTGCTTCAGGGAACCCAACACTCAAGTATCAAGTTCAGGTCAGTTAAGCAAGAACTGGCCCTGGAGCTTTAACACTAGCAATGTTCCAAGGTGCCTAACACAAGAAACTTGACCCCAAGTCTCTCAATCCCTCAACTGGGGCCCTGCTGCTGACCCAAGAAACAGAGCTGTCCAGCACCTAGCCTGGCACAGTCAAATGCTCAAAACAAGGTTGGCTCAAGGGCAGCGTCAGGAGGATGTTTCACAGGAAGAACACAACCTTTGAGGGCTTTCACATAATTAACATTAAACAAAGTTTTCTATCACCAAACACCAAAGGGAACTTGAGCCCATGAGTTAAAATGCAACTGCATCACCACTGACTTTCAGCATCCAATAGCCAAACATAAAAATAGAGACCTAACAGCAGTTTAACAGAAATGTTTTTTAAGTCCTCACTCTCTCCATCAGCCCATGTAAACAGGAAGGGCTATTCCAGGCCCTGAGTCTGGTTTTAAAAGGGGTTGTATTGCTTTTGTGATGTTGTCGTTAAATACCACCTGAACTCACAGTGCAAGTGAAAACGAAACAGCTCACTTTCCAGCTCTCTGGAAAAGATGCACACCATATATTAAGAAGCTGATTTTAAAAACTGTGCCAAAGAAGTAGATAGAGATCTAAGAAGAAATACTAGTTTACAGAAATATGCATTCCACTGCACATACTTGTCTCTTTAGGGTAAGAGTTCAGAATCTTTGGGCCATGCACTTTATTTATTATTTTCATTTTATGTGTATAAGTGTATTGCCTGCATGTGTGTTAAGCGTACCCATGTTGTGCAATTCCCGAGGAGGTCAGAAGAAGGTACTGGATCCCATGGAACCGGAGTTACAGACAGTTGTTAGCTGCCATGTGGGTGCTGGGATTTGAACCCGGGTCCTCTGCAAGAACAGTCAGTGCTCTTAACCGCTGAGCCATCTCTCCAACCCCATCATTATATATTTTTAAAATATAAAATAAAATACATAAGACAAACAGAAACAATTTAATTGTTTGAACAACATTACCAAAATACAAAAGCAGAATTTATAATGCCTTAGTAAATACTTCTTAACTGAGATATGAGAGGATCTGGCAGTGTTGTGTGTTTGCCTGGCATGCACAAGCTCCTGGGTTCAATTCCCTTACCATCCTCAAGATCTAGCACAGATTTGGTAACTGCTATAATTTTCAAGAAGGAATGGGTATAAATAATATCTTATAAACTGGAAGGTGAGTGAAAATTAAAATATACCTTGTTTTTCTTATCCAAATTCACTGACTCTAAATTCTCTTTGCAAATCTGGGTGTAAAAACTACTGCTTTAGATTTTTTTTCATTTTAAAAAAAGCTTATCAGGGGATTTAGCTTGGTTGATAAAACGCTTGCCTTGTATATAAAAACCTGAGTTGGATTCTAAGAACGCATGGAGAGACAGAGACAGACAGAGAGAGAGAGAGAGAGAGAGAGAGAGAGAGAGAGAGAGAGAGATCCAAGCCTCCTGTGATGCAGAACACACTTGTGAATTCTTGCACTGGGGAGGCAGAGACAGGCTACAGATGGAGTCAGGATCCTTGGGGCTCGCTGGCCAATCAGCCTAGCCAATTTGAAGAGTTCTAGACCAGTGAGCATCCCTTTTTTTTTTTTTTTTTTTTTTGTAAAAAGTGGATGGTATTTGAGAAAGGAGACCTGAGATTGTCCTCTGGCCTCCACACATACGCTCTCACACATGCACAAGCACCTGAACACACATGTACACACACACACACACACACACACACACAGAGTTTCCTTGTATTTAAAAGGAGCATAAAAAGTAATCAAGAAACCCAGAGGTCCTTATACCTCAAATATATCTCCACCCCTAGACTCAGCTAAACACATTTACAAATATGACTTCTCAGAAAGAGCCACTGTTGAGACTGCCAGGACTTCTAGTATGTTCCAGCCCCACTGTCACCAGTGACTGACAAGAGAGCCCTGGTGAATCTGCAGGCATACAGCACTCAGGAGGACAGTTAAGAACCCGTGGACAGCACTGGGACACAATGCAGTCACTGCAGGCTGGAAAGATAGAAGTTTACAAACTGAAATAGAATAAAGGAAGAAAAATCAAATCTATCCTCCAACTGAGGAATGGAGGTAAGTCTTGAGAGCCTACTGTGTCAGGTGACTTCAATAAATCCTCATGTGTGCCAGGTAACCACAACAGGATCCCAAACCTTACCCACAAACTGGGCAAGAGAAAAATGGCTTACTAGGAGCATCTGGCCATGCACACAGCAAGAAAGTAAATAGGACAATGAAGGGTCAAAGCAAACACACAAACAAAAGCTATAAATTCTTTGGGGCAGAGGAACAGAAAAGGTAAAAGATTCTATACATACATCTACCCATAATCCCATTAACTCCTGTTAAAGGTGTTCTTCAGTCAGACGTGGTGGCACACACTTTTAATCCCAGCACTTGGGAGGCAGAGGCAGGTGGATCTCTGTGAGTTCAAGGCCAGCCTGGTCTATATAGTGAGTTCCAGGACAGCTGGAGCTACAGGGAGACCCAGTCTCACAAAGACCAAAAATTTTTTAAAAAGTGTTCTTCAAAATCAAGCAAGACAGAAGAAATAAGAGACAGGACAAGGGAAAAAAGGTAAAATCTTGAAAGTTAGAAAACAGATGACTATTAGGAAACAGATTAGAAAACAGAGGGGACTACTAAACAATTAATGGGAAAAATTCTCAAGAGGCTGGAGAACTGGCCATACTGGGTCCTTCTGGAAGTGAGAAGAGGAAGAAATGACTCAACTGAGATTTGAAAGTTCATTAAAGAAGTTGAAAGATCTTACTTGACAAAAGCAATGTTACCTCCCATTTTATAAATCAGTCTTCCCCGTTGATTGTCCTCAACCCTGAAGTACAATGGAAGAGTGAGGACCATTCGTAAGCAGAACAAATGCCCCTAGAAGGCATCAGGACACCTACCCAACACAAGGTGCAGACTTGAGTTGGAAGAGCCCATGCCCAAAAAAAGGTCCCTTCTGGCTCTGAATTACATCATTACGAGCACTCTGCTTTCTTTCTATTCCATGTCTCTCCTCACTCCTTCAGGACAGAAGTTAAACATTTTCAAGTCTTTCCCATCTTTCTTTTTTTTTTTTTGGTCTTTTTAAGTCAGGGTCTCCCTAAAGCCCCAGCTGGTCTGGAACTCACTACGTAGACCAGGCTGGCCTCGAACTCACAGAGATCCACCTGCCTCTGAATCCCAAGTGCTGGGATCAAAGGTGTGCGCCACAGCACCAGGCTCTTTCCCATCTTTTAAAAAGAGTGAGTCATCCAGAACTTTCTGAATTCCATGTTTCCCTCTAGCTACCATTTAGCTACCACTTTCTTGCTGATTCTCTCTTAGAAACAAGACATCTCAGAGCTGGAGAGCTGGCTCAGGGGTTAAGAGCACTTGCTGCTCTTATACAGGATCCAACTTTAGTTCCCAGCACCCACATGGTGGCTAACAAATGCCTATAACACAGATACACACACACATACACACACACATACACACAGAGAGAGAGAGAGAGAGAGATAAAATTAACATATTTTATTGTTTTATTGAATTTCTGCAAATTTCATACAATATATTTTATCATATCTAGGCCCCCTCCCCTATCTGCACCCCTTCTATAGCTCCCCACCAGATTTCATGTACAGACATATCTTTTTAAAAAAAAAAATCTCTAAAGAACTGCTTGGTTTTAGTAGGCTCACAGTGTTGTACAATCCCATCACCATTCATTCCAAACATTCTTACCACACCCCCAGAAATTCTATTCATCTGCAGCCACAGTTCCTCTCCCTCCTGCTCCCCAAGCCCCCTGGCAACCACTCATCTACTTCTCTCTCAAAATTTACTTGTTCTAAGTCCAGGGAACATTCCACAAACATCAACTCACCAATAAGCCAACAAGAAGGAACCCCCTCCTTTGAATACTCTCTTCCCTGCTCCCTAGGATTTTGTTTATACTTCTCTCAACATTACTCCCCTAAACCCTTTTCAAAGTTATCCTTTGAAGTCTTTAAAGGTGAAATCTGCAAGGTGAAAAGCCAGCCCTGAGCTCCAGGCATTGCAGACCCTCCGTCTAAACTTGAAAATGCATCAACATGTTATGTAGCAGCTTCCTACAAGATAAAACCTTCCATCTTGGGAGGAAGCTTGTTAAGACACCAGATGTTTTAAGGGAAGGTAAAATGTTCCATTATGCAGGGAAGCTTTTTTAAAAAAATTTATTTATTTTTGGTATTTTTGAGACAGGGTCTCCTTGTAGCCACAGCTAGCCTGGATTCGGTATGGAGACCA